CGGATCTTCCACACACATGCTCACTGCAGACACACTTCCTTCCTCAGCCTCCCTCCCTAAATCCTGCTAGCCACTTTTGTTTTGATTAGGATGGGCTGCCTGGTCCCCAGCAAAAGTCAAAGACGACAAGCCTGTAACAGCATATTCTGCATGGGGACTTCCATACTCCAAACAGGCATACCTATGGCATATTAAACATAAGGAGCAATGAAGTACTGATCCCACTTACATGCCCAGGACTTCCAGTTATCCTAAGCAATTAAGTAGTTTTTAAAGGCTCCCAATAAAACAAAAATGAAAAAGGTATGCTAGACGAAAGAATTAATACATCCTTGAAAAAGCACAGCATCACATGTGCTCACAATATAAGAAAGTCAGCATTGAGTGTATAATGTCATGTCCTACTCTGTCATAGAAAAAGTAGCTCAGCTGTGCCTAAAAACTAGGAATTCAAGGAATAAGCATCTGATTCATCATTGAAAACGATAGTTGGTTGCATTATGGGAAAAGACTGTTCAGATGCTGCTTGTATGTTTCATTTTCCATTTATTCTTCTGTTTACAGTCAAAATAGTCTTAATAATTTTTCCTCCTTCTTTTTTTTACATGTAGTTGAAACAGTAAGAGCAATCTTTATAATACACAAATGATAGTACAGTGCAGAAGGACTCAATGCAAGAAAAAAGGGTGTTTTCCATTTTAATCAAATTTTGCAGTAGCAGTAAGAAAGTTCAGAAGAAAGTGAAAAATTTCAAGCCAACTATGTTCCTTTCAATGAGACGACAAAATACACCAGCTCCTACATGCTGCTCCTCCCTTCCTTCCTCTCCCCATCTCATAAAAGAGGATCCCAAAGAATGATTGTGTTTAAGGTCTCAGTTCAGAAATATTATATCAATCCCTTATTGTGGTAAGAATTTTGGACTACAGAGCCAGGTTCCAACAAACTCCATCTAAACTGAACAATCCATTCCATCCTGAAAAAACACATTATTGAGAAACAGACATAAATTCTTAACCCTCAATACTCACAAGCATGCATTTAATTGCATCTGTTTACATTCAGCACCCTCCAGCTCATGATCATCTTTACCATCTGCACTTCACACTAAGCAAAGGAAAAAAGACTTGTTTCTAACTCAGCCTGTACAAAGTGTGTGTGAAAAAGAATGTACAGCATTTTTGCCTTACTGCCAGCATCCAAAAGAAGTAGTATATATTTGTCTAATTTTGAATGTGCAAAAAAAAAAATTTAACAAACATCATCATTTTCTGAGAACTTTTTCTGAGAAAATTTTCATTTCTATGAGAACTTCAGCTCTTCTGAGTTCTTTGCACTGTAGACCTTTATCCACATGCACCACAAAAGGCTTCCCTCACTTCACCTCTCCAGTCTGTTTTACCCTTTGACAAATAGATCTTCTTCTAAAATTTAATAAGAGCCACTCGTAGATAACTAGGTCCAGAATTCACATCACAAAAGAGAAACAAGTTATATTATTCATGCCATGGTAACTTATAAAGAGAACATATGACAATATTGAACCAAACACAGTAAGGTGCCCAGTCCTTGGATTTAAAAATGTTACAAAGGACTATCATTGCTACTCTTCCATTTTTTTTTCAGAAGAAACAGAGTTGACTTGGCACATTGCTGCACTGAACATGGCTTCTGCTCAAAAAATCAAATCGACTTTAGGACTCATAATTTTTATATGACCCTGAATGACTCAAACACAAGACTTAAAGATATAAGCTGTATTCGAATAGAGCTACAAAGGAAAAGACTGTAGATTTGTGTAAGTGTACCAAATTACAGTGCAGACACACAGATGCACATATGTAATGACTGGTGTGTTTCTACCTCAAATAATGCATCCAGCTCTAGGTACTTCATTACCAGAAGGGTAACAACAGTCTGAAGGTAGTTCAGAGGAGATCAATCGAAATGATTAACACCAAAGGAAGGACTTAAAAGGCAGGGTTAAAAACTCAATACTGCAGCTGTTTTGTGAATAGGACTTTCATTGGGTGAAGGGGAAGAGAATTCCAAACAAAAGCATGCTCCTCTAAAAATATATCAATATATACAATTAGCAAAGCACTGACTTTAGAAAAATGTGACTATAATCCACACATAGCTAAGGGGGAACTCCAAGAAGAAAGCAAAATTATTTATTGCAAGCTCAAAAGTGTAGGTATAATGAGCTTAAACTATTACAGGAATTTTGACTTGACATACTGTAAGTTTTTGCTCATAGCAAGATCTCATAAACTGGGCATAACCTCACCAAAAAAGGGTAAGATAAGAAAGTAAAAATACTGTTGCAGGGTTCAAGCTAGCTTTGACAGGACTTAGACTAAGTAAACTAGAAGCTTCTATCCCCTGCTCAGACTGCTTAATTCTATAAAATTATACTATCAGCTACAAACACTGCAGAATGAGCGAATGAATGCATGCAACACTACCTGCACACACTTAAAAGATGAAGTGTTTTCAAAGCAGTTTGGAACAGCAGTGTTTTCTTTCAACAGATTAATAAACTAACATATTTGCCTTGAAAAGGACCCTTCACGTGACAGATTTTTTCAAATTAAAAAAACTAATAGGAATAGGGTCCAATCACTGCTCAGGCAACAGGCTGTCATACATGCAGCAGCGTTAAATAACATTACAGAATTAAAGATATTTTTATGCTCTGGCTGCTACTGCTAGAACTGGTCAGCTAGTTAGCTAACAAAGCATTCTATGCAGCAGTATCAATTATCTAAAATGTACTCTGAAACACAACAGATAGTAGTTCTCCCTGTTACATTACACAGAAAACTGATGGAAAGAAGATTCATGTCACCATGAAATTTACATATATATATATATATATACACTTTAGATTTCATCAAAATGAAAATGATGAGAAACATACTTTATTTGCTGCAAGAGCAATTCCTTGCAAAATACTAATAATAACTTCACTCAGTAAGACGTATCTCTAAGTAAACTCAAAATGACTGAGGCACACAGTTAACATACAATGAAACATGGTATTTTTCTACTAATGAAACTGCATTTTACACTGTGATTGTCTTAGAAACCCAAGGGTATGGATAAACTCTAGATTATTAAACTGTAATAAACAAACTTGTCTAACATTTCCTTCTTTTCCCGTCCTTTAGGGAACATAACTCAATAGAGACTTCCAAATTTATGACTACTTTATTATTTTCTATGACTACTTTCCATTATGAAACTGAAAACCTTGTCTAGTATTACTTAAATGTATCAGGTTATCACGCAGTTCAATACTTCTCTATTTTCCACAGCTCTAAGAATATCTTTGTTTCCAAATGTGTTTTTTATTAACAGCACTGCTATGTTTTAAATATTTGTCTTCTACTATTCAAGAAGCAAAAAAATTACATTAACACAAAGTTACATTAAGAAAGAGAGTGGTTTATCTTTAAAGTAATTTACAGAACCGTAAAGAGCAACTTCGTGACTTAAGATACAAAGGGAAGAAAAAGGAGGAAGACTGCTCCTTCTTTGATAAGTGTTTCATTCATTCAGTTCTAAAGAGAAAAAGCAGCAGCAAAGAGGGGGCAGCTTATATGCCAGTACAAAGCAGGAAGCGCAAGAATTTAGGGAGTTCACTACTGGATTCTACGCTTTGTACATAATTTCAAATGCAAGCATCTGTATTGAAGTGCAGACCCTTAGGTGCAAGGGCACATGTGTGTAAGGCACCAAGACCAGAAATCCACGCCACCCTGCACTGCAAGACAACAGGCCACAGCAGCACTTTCTTCAGCAGTTTACTAACATAATCAAAGGTGTACAATTTTAAAAAGCCTGATAAAGTTACTGCAGAATAAAGCCGGGGCACCAAACGCAACATTAAAAGGGAGTCACTATATAATCATGGAACACCCCCTTCACCGTCACTGCAAACGTCATAGAAAATGGACAGCTACGTAAAAAGATGCATTTTGCCTCCCTAACATGGCCCTAGCCAACCCCAAAATGGTCTCTTTACCTGATATCTCTCTTCTCTTCCCTGATCACAGAGGAGATGGGTGAAATTAAAAAAATAGCTTTGTTGTAACTGGAGACTTACAGAAGGACCAGGGAAAGTCTTCTTCACAAACCACAGTAGAGGTCTCAAAAAAGTTCCTTTATTATTTCATACCTATTTTGCATCTGTAAGTGGTTTAACATGAAGGCATTCATACCCGTTTCCACGTTCAAAACACCAAACCCACCATGCTGCTTAAAATTAAAACCATGGACCATACACCCCTTGTATGCCCAACAGCCTTACAGAGACACTGCTTTTGGTCTGAATACTTAATAATTACTTTTTTTTTTTTTTTTTTTTTTTTTTTTTTATTCCCTAGAAAGGAATAATTAAAAATCAACCAACCAAACCACATACAGGCTTCAGAGTATCACCACAGGGACACTCTCAGGTCTGAATTACTGCAAAATAACACTATAATTATGTCTTAATTTCACTAACTAATCTCAGATGAGCTTTTAAAAAGTAATTCGAGGTTTACAAGTAAACCGTTTAAAACTGTACTCAAATGTTATCTGAATGAAACCCGACATTTATTTATCCTTTTCCCAGCTTAATTTTAAACAGTTTCCAAGGAAAGGCATATCTGCTCCTGATCAGACTGGTGACAAATGATAAACCTTGTTAAAAAGTGTGACATTTGAAAATAAATAAAAACCACAGGAGACTTTTCCAACCAAGGAGGAAGATACCGAGAAATATTATAACCTTGCACAAATCACCAGCCACAGAGACTAAGCACAATCTAACGACCTTATTTTCTCAAATTGTAGACTGCCAACAAAACCACTACCTAAGGCAACTCTTTAACTACAGATGTACTTAAATACCTAGAAAAAATAGGTTACTTCTCTTCACATAAAACCGGAGTCCCACTGAGCTCAACCAAATGTGGCAGGCTGAGATGGAAGACAAAAACGGGTCTTACTTGGTGTACAAAGACATCAACTGGAGACTCCAAGGGGCTTCCCTCTCGGTTGCTCATGGAGATGAACCCGAATCCCATTCTCACATTGAACCATTTGCAATGGCCGGTTCCGTGTAAAACCTGGGATTCCTCTTCTTCTTCCTGCTCCGGCAACTTCCCGGGTTCGTCTCCACCTTTACTCGCCCCTGCTGAGGTAGAGGGAAAGGGGGGGGTGTGGGGGGGAAGGGGGGAGAAAAAGAAGGAAGAAAGGGACAAGATGCAAAGAGTTAAATTCTGGTAACATCCTTTTGCCGCTGTATAAAGGAATTAATACAAACAGAAAGGGGTAAAAAAAGAAAAATAAAAAAAAAAAAGCGGACAAAACAAAAATGAAAAAGCAAACGGTGAAAAGTGCGTATTTTTCCTAAATCCTAAAATTAACAACCTTCTCCCCAAAATACGTAAAAAAATTAAATCACCGGAGGTTACAGAGAGGAAACACTGCGCACGGAGGCTCTCCCTCTCTCTGAGCCCAGGGCAGCCCACGTTTCTGTACATACGTGTATTTTTCCATTTAACTCCATCTTTCAGCCACATTACAGCACGGAACGCGATACTTTACTTGAATATTGCTGGTTTAAGACCGATCCCATTTCTCAACAGAAATTCTCAGCCCAATTAGTCTCTCCTCGCAAGGCGCAGGACCGGGGGGGCGAGGGGGGAGGCCGGCCGAGGAGGGGTGGAGGAGAGAGAATAAGCAAAATTGGGTAGATTGCACAACTGGTTATTGCACATGCAGCGCCGAAACCACTATTTTCCACCGTGTATCCATCCCTCCTTGGAATAAACTTTCGATTAAAGTTGGGACAGGTGTACGGCCGTTTTCTCATCCCACCACTGCAACTGTGCTTAATCAAACAGGAACAATTCAAACAATAGCCCCCTGAAAGCTTTTCAAGTTGTGAATCGGTGTGGGCGGTACGGAACAGTTTCTGAGCTGGGTAACAATGGGTTTGGAGAAAGCCCCCTTGCGCGAGCTGCTAAAAAAGGGTAATGCATAGTTGGGTTAAAAAAGGGTGGGGGGAGGGGGGGAGAGGGGGAGAGAGCGAGCGAGCGAGCGAAAATCATAGTAAAACAATAGAAAAAGAAAATTAACCTTCGGCCATGTTGCCCCACGGGCCCTCTGCTCCAAACTCGTGAGATGAAAACTTTCCCTGTGGATCGAAGTGGTCTTCTGCATTAATCTAACATCCTGATTTTGAACGATCGCAAATTTAGCTCGCATGGTCTAATGTGCTTTCCCTCTTTTGATTTTTCCCCGTCTCTCTCGCTCCGTTTCTGGCCCCCTGCGCACACGTGACTCGGTCAATTACATGCTTTCTTGCTACTAATTTCGCATCGGATCCTTAAGGGGTTGGCAGCAGGCAGGAGCAGCCAATCGCCATTTCAAGTAGCCTGACACACCAAAATAATTTATGAATGAACAAGAAATTTCCAACGCGGCGCTTTTTTTTTTTTTCCCCTTCCTTTTCGGACAGCTAATCTGCACGCTTCTTTACGGGAAATCGAGATGACGTATTATTCTGGGGTTTCTGCCCTCCCGTGCATGCAGAAATCCGTAGGAAGATCCGTGTGTTTCTAGATACAGCCCACTGAACAACAGCTGCACGCAGGGGAGATTATGGGGGTATCTGTGCCCACCGCAGGCGGGCTCCGCGTACGCACACGAAGGCGAGATGCTCCCGGAGGAGGGACACACGTGTGTGCGGACACGGACGGGGACACACGTGTGTGCACACACGCACGGCGAGCGCCGGCAGGCGTCGGCGGCACGCTGTGCGCACAGCGCGGGCAGATGCGCAACTGGATCATTACTAATTTCGCATTCAAATTAGAAGGGCGCCGGAAACGCGGTATCACCTTAATATGCCCCAGAATGTGCGGAGATCTAGCGTTTCACAACATTTCTGGAGGGGGGATGGGGCGAGGGATTGTACTTCACAGGTTTCTCCGCCATCTCTTTCCGGGGGAGGGGATGTGATTAATGACTTCCTAAATAAGAGCCCAGTTTTCAAGCCGAGAATTGGAGTGAACCTCAATCAGCAGTTGGGAGAGGACTGACAGAGAGAGGGATTTACTGGTGAAGAGGGAGGGGAGAAAAAAAAAAAAAAAAAAGCCTCGGGGGAAGAGGACAAAGAGGGGAGAAATAATGGTGACCGGGGACTGCTGTTTTAAGTCTTCACTGCCAGCGGGAGGGGGGATCCAATTCGGAGAAGAAATGTGTGATATGTAACGGGCTTGGTAACAGCCCCTTTGCAAAGGCACTCCCCTTCCGCGCTCACAGGTACACAGCTATGGCACTGCCCTCCAGCCCTTCCTGCTGCTGTACGCACGGCCAAACGCTTTTAAAATAATATTTCAGAAACGTGAAAAACAAACAGTTAGGGGAGAATTAGTTTTATTCTTCCACCTGCCCATCTCCTTTACTGTAAAGTTACAGATGAAAGTATTCTGTCCTCATCACCACCTACTCGCATTAACCTGTCTTTCCATGCGGTATTTATACATATATATATATATATATATATATATATATATGTGCTTTAAATATTGCCCATACCTTGTAAAAACCTGGACTCCGACTTTCTTTTTAACCTCCCCCCTTCTCCCCCCAGCATCCTCCCTTATCCCAAGGACGCACAAACAAAAGCCAAGGCAACAAACTGATCCGTGCAGAACCTGAATGCAAGGGGCTTATGCATTTGCAAAGCACTTGCTGTTGTTTGGGAAGTGGCGTCGATCAGTCTGCCCAATTAAGGGGAACGCCTTTGCCCCCATGGGCCTGTTTACTCCTTTTGTTGCCTTTCAGGAAAGCGTCAATTCCCCTGCTAGCGCCTCATTTCTGTGTGAAACACCAAGGTGGAGGCTCCGTGTGATCGTTTGCAAGAAAGAGGCGAGGGTGGGCAAGAGTGTACAAATACAAGCACCCTGACAAGTGGAGCAGAAGCTTTAAATCCTGAAATTCCTTTGCAGTCTTCAACCGTAAATTTCCTATAGGTTGTTTCAACAGTCAGGTCGACTTCCTACACTGACCTGCCTTACGCATTCGTGCTACATACCACTTGCTTTTGGCTCATAACCTCCTTTTCCCCCTTACAATAGATTATTTTGCAATATTAAATCTCCAGTAATTTTATAGGCTTGGATCTTATGACCGGGACGATATCTAAAATATAATGAATGTACGCGATTTTAATATACGTGAAACCTCAGTTATGAACAAGAAATTAAGGGTACCGGAAGAAAACAATCCTTACACCTCTTACTTGAACTGCCCAAGACTACATATCTTGTGGCAGAATAGCACATTTATAAAAGACAAGATCCCTCTGCTCCTCGAAAAGACAGAAAATACCCGTTTAATAAAGTTTTAAAAGTCTTTATTTTAAAAGATTGATTCATTTTACCGGTATTCGGTATTAAACAAAAAAAATTAAAATCCTTAGAGGCTAGAATATTGGTTAAACAGACACAAACGAGTGGAGTTCATTAAATGGACAAAATGTCATGTTAGCAAATTTCAGTGAAAAGAAAATTTCACTATATGTTCTTCTATGAATAAATGAACGACTCCAAAACCACGTAAATAAATGAAGGTAAATATATTGGTTGCAAAGTTTTTCTTAGGTTGCAAAATAAGTGCAAATTTTGTAAAATGAAGGGGGATGGGATTTGCAATGTGTCTTTACTGAGATTTTCAGGCCTCCAGTATTAGTGGAATTAAGGTTGGGGTCACTGGACTGGTCACTGGTGTCAGATGTTATCGACTCATTCATTTCCTGCAAGGGACATCAGCCTTTCAAGTTTTGTGGAAGGTAGAGAGCTGTTGCCAGCTGGGAACTCTCCGGGTAAAAGAAAAAAATTTAAAAAGAGAAAAAGGAACCCCAACCAACACCCTTCAAAAATTCATTCTGAAAGGAGGGGGGAAGAGGTAAGAAAATCCTACGGAACAAGCCAGTTCGTGGAAAAAACTAGTTTAATGGTAATAGTTTACATTTAAAAAAAAAAATCCATTTCTATCCTTACATTTCGCTAAACAGATGCTAATTTTGGAAAAGACAATTATAGGAAGCTGGAATCATTGTCTTTCTACTTGCACAGCAAGAGCTCCCTTGAAACTATGTAACCAAAACCAGTGGTGTTGGATTTCCTATTTGTCACCTTCCTAAAGCTTTTAAAGTCCTAACTTCGGCTTCTTCTATTCCTCTAAACAAAACCAAAACAAGACAAAAACCGCACAATCCCCCCTCCTCGAAAATACTACCCGCCTTCTTAAAAAAAAAAAAAAAAAAAAAAAAAAAAAAAAAAAAAAAAAGGAGAAAACCCCAAACTCTAAAGAAAACAGGGAGAAAAAAAAAAAAGCGCACAAAAATCCAAACAAACGACGGAGCCGCGTGCATTTGTGCATTTGAAACAAAACGCGTGTTTTACACTTGAAAGCAGAGCTCGGGGTGCTGCTACCACTTCCCATTTCAAAGCACAGCCGGCGCTCCTCGCCGACGGGCAGGCAGGAGGGGCAGGCACGGCGCCGCGGCGCCCCTGCCCCCTCTCTCCGCTGCCCGCGCTGGGCTGCTCGGCGCCGCCCCGCCGATGCTGGACCGAATGAGATGCCCGTCGTGTTTTTTCTACACGGTCTCTGCCGAAACCGGCTCTTCCTAGATGTGTGGCCGGAGGGGGGCCTTTCCCGCCGCTCCTACGGCCGGGAGGCTGTGCCGGTGCGGAGCTGTTCCCGCCAAAACCCTCTCACCTACATTTTGGGCGCCAAAGCCGCTTTCCCTTTCCGCCGCCGCGCAGCGCCCGGGTCGAGGGAGGGGGTGGCCACCCTGCGTGGCCGTGCCGCTCCTGGGAGCAGAGCCCGATCCCAGCGCTGCGCCTCCGCCGGGCAGGGCCAGAGTCGGGCGCCCGCCGGGCGCGGAGGTTCGGGCGTCCAGCGGCCGCACTCCGCCAGGGCCCGGGAGGCGGCGGGTCTGTCCCCCCAACCCTGCCCTAAAGCCCCATGGCTTTTGTTTAACACTTCCCAGAAAATGAGGCTACTTCCCAGCCGGGGACGTGGCGGTGCGCCTTCCCGCGTCTTTGGGAGAGTAGGGTCGGATGAGCTCCGGCAGTTCCCCTGGTCGGGCTTATTACCCTCTCTTTAAATCGCGAGCATTGATAGTAGAAAATATGCAATTTGTAATTTAAAAAACAAATCAAAACAGCGCCGGTCCCGGCTGCGCGCTGCCACGGCTCGGACCGAGCAGGGACGGGATTTGCCCGACGTGCGACCGCGGGTATGAAGTTACAGGCTTTACGGAGGCGCCTTCGCACCGCGCCTGTCCCGAACCGCGGCTCTTTTCGGGAAATGCAGTTTCAGGGCTCAGAAAGAGCCTCTCTCCCGTCACTCCCGGCCGCCGCAGCAGCTCGGTTTTTTAACTTCCCCGGCGCTCCTCAGCCGTCACACCCAAGGCGGGCGCTCCCGGAGCCCGCCCCTGCTCGCTCATGGGGACGGGGCAGCCCCCGCCGAGCTCCGCAAGCGCCGCTGCTCGAACTGGGGTCGGAGCGCGGTTTCAAGCGTGAGCTTTGCGAACACGTTCTGTTGGAACGAGAAGGCGGCCGAGGGTGCGGCGCGGGCCCGCCCTGCCGTCCGTGCATCTCTGCTGGGCGTGCCGGCCGTTTGCGGGGGACTCCTGAAAGTGCTGTCAATTACTGTGATCCCGCGTGGGATCCGCGGGCAGGAGGACGCGGGAGGCGCTCACTCGGAGAGCTCGGATGCAGGATGTGGTCTCACGTACATTAACCGTCTCCCAGCTGCGGATTTGCAACTGATAGCGGCCGCTTCCACGGGGGATTTAAAGAGGCTCTGGAAGTCGTCGCGGGAGACCGTGTGACAGGGCTAACGCCCCGCAGGGAACACCGGCCACCGCGGAGGGACCGACCACACGGCCCGGTGTCCCCGCTTCGCTTCCCGCTCGGCAGGCTCAGGACGATGAGCGGACGGGTCCGCGCCTCGAGCGCTTTCGCTCCAGCCCGTCTCCTCAGACGGGACACTCCCCGACGGGCAAGTGCCCGGCGGTGACACGGACAGCTCCTCCCGCCCCAGCACACAGACAACCCCCGGCGCCTGCCATCGCCCACCCCAGGCCATCCAGCGCTGCAGGGAGCGCGTCCCGCGGTGCGGGATCACCGGTGTCCCCGGGACGCGCGTCCCTCCCTCAGGGGCGCAGCGCCGCTCCGCGGGGAGCTCCGCGCCCCGGCCCGCGCATGCGCCGCCCCGGGCGGGCACCGA